TCACACAGTTCAGTGGGTGATTTTGGGCTAGTCATTCTTACCTCACAGGATTGTTGGTGTAAGGGAAAATGGGAGGAAGGAGTAATATGTACGTTGCCTTGAGTTCCTGATATTCTTCATAGAGAGGCCTTCTTTATGATGTGGAAGAAACACTTTTTCATCTTTTTCATATATAGATGGAAAAGACAAGATCCAGGCTACAAATTAGACCTAAACTTAAACATTCAATTTCTCTATACCTTAAAAGCTGCCTTGTGGGATTTTTTCCCCCCTTTGGTTATTTTTGCAGCAATAGCAGATTAACGCCTGGCCCAGTTCATATGTAACACTAAATCATAGAGCAGTTTGATCAATTTTGTTTTAGTACGATACATGAACCCACCTCTTTGTCCTTTATGAATTGGCCTGTGCAATGCCTATTGCTTCAACCTCTGACCCTCGGATTGGATCTGATGCCTACTACTGACTTCCCCATCATCTGACCACCTTAGTTAGACTGCTTACTGGAACTTTGACTCTTGGCTTGAATCAAAACATTATTATGGCTTGGTTGTCTGCAACAGAGACAGAAGAATGGATCTCAATTCATGGTTTGTTACAACTGTGAATGTCTCTGAGATTTTTAACAGAACCTGCTTACATTTCACTGAAGCAGAGTTAGGGTATGAAATTCTTTCTTAATTTGGGGATTCTGTGAATGTTTTGGAACAACAGGCTATTGGTTTCCATTTTTCTTCATGATCTTGAAACAGTACTCCGTTTGCTCCATAGCTTGTAGCATCAGCACCCATAACAATATGTCAGTTAATACAGAAGCCAATATGTGGGTCTTCAGTTAACTTATTTTCAGTCCTAAAAGTCTCCTCTTGTTTATGTGCTAATTGCCAAATCCTTTGTGTTTTGAGCAAGTTGATTTTAAAGGATGCAAGGCTTTGCCATTTATAATACAAATCTTTACAGGCATTACACCGTGCCCCAGACACTCTTTAGCTCTTGTACAGATTTTGGGGAGTTCATTCAACTTCACTTTCTTTGGGTGTAGCTCACGCCATTTATTTTATGTGCTGTATGCTTTTCAGGCTTAGATGACATTTATGTTTTAGCTTTAGGCCTCCAACCTTCATGGTTGCTAGAACTGTCTAGTGTCTGATCATATGCAGTCTCAGTAAGTCTATAGACCAAGAAATTGTCAGTGAATACTGAAACATTCTCCAGGTCTTGCACAAAGGTAGACACTGCCCTTTGAAAAACTCAGGAATAGTAGAAACATCTGCCAAATGGTGTAATGAGTGCCATGAATCTAGCATGATCTTGGTCTAACCAGATCAGCCAAAATCTGGTGGCTGCAGCAAGCAGTCAGAGTATTTAAGCATCTATAATTTGGGGAGGACTATCCACTATGGTAGGAAAGATGTGCCCTTCTCCTTTCATGGCTTTGTTCAGCTATTTCAGATGTACAGTACCTGTACATGAATTCTGTTGTGGAATCCTTTCATTTCCATGTACCTTTTGTATGATCATTTCAGTCCTGCCTAATTGAATAATTATTTCTCATCCTTCTGTTTTGGTAGAAGTAGGGCTAATAATCTGACTGCATGGGCTATATAGGAAATGGCTCCTTCCTTAAACCTTATTCATTCTAGAAGACTGTTTAAGGTTTCCATTTCTATGCAAGGCTCCATGAACACTTTTTCCACACAGTGTGCTAGATTCATTCAACAGATGTCTCTCAACCCAGAAGCTTGATTATCTGACCACAGAATACATATACTTTAAACTCATACTCCTTGCCTGTACTGGCTGATAGCTATAAAGTAGCATAAGCAATGTAAATTCTTGCTGCCAGGGGATGCAGTAACCTCTTACAGATGAGGCCGGCTTAGAAGTTTCCTTTGATCGATTCAATTGTATTACCTCCTCTCTCAGTTTAAAAGCATACTGCACAACCATTAATTTGTTATGACATTTTTCAACACTTGGCAGAGTCATCAGGGCATATAGCTGATCCCCAGAAGAAATGCTCATTGGTATCACCATGTTTTGCAACTTTTCACAAGTATGATGGACAGCCACAAAATAACTCATTTTCTTAAATTTGTGCATTCAGGAATCTTAGCAAGATATTCTGTCCTGCCTACATGACCTCTGAGTTCATCTAAAGCCCTTCAGCCTCTCTACTGATGTAGAGTCCTTTGATCATG